ATTGTGCTAGGATTGAGGTGAACCTGATTACTGGAAACTGTTCAAGGAGATTTGTTTGGTATATATTGATTTAGTTTGGTACGGTTGTGTCAATTGGATCTTTAAATTTTGGAGCCTTTGAAGAGGCAAGGATATCGATAGGGCAAATAAGCAGAATCTAAAGAATGGTTAGATATTTAGTAAATCAAAGAGTAAGACATGTACGTTCTATTGGGATTCGCAATGTTTCTATGTGCAGTGATCGAGGTGTTGCTGCAGGTCAGAGGCATCTGTTAGATAGTTTGAATTGGTTTGTTGTGATGTACAGTTTAAAGCGGGAAGTACTATACGTTAGTGAAGTTCAAAAGAATTCTGGGATGACGTATACTTCAATGAAATACCACCAATTGAGAGTTCAGAGACTAATGTGGTTTTGGTTTTGTATGGGAAGGTTCCCGGTGAGCTTCTTGTCGAAGGAATGGATGATTCATGGGCTGCCGTTGCTGAAATCAAGTTCAATTTGAACCGATTACAAGCGATTGATATGACTGCTGATATCATCGAAGGGATTAATGTTCCTATTATATCACTTGCTGATGGGAAATACACATTAGCAGAAATTGTTGTTAAGCGTATACCTCGGAGCATATTGAACAAGAACAATGATAAGATTAAAAGTCCAAAAATGAAACCATCTTTAAATTTTAACTCATTGTTAAAGCTAAATAAACTTATAGAATACAAATTTCATATTATTAATGAAATTGCTGATATTTCAAGCCGTGTTCAGGATGGGATGAATCATGAAGTGAAGCATAAACGTTGGGAGAACGTCAGATTACAAAGATATATCCGTCAATTAGAGAGTAGGACTTCGAAGAAACATCGCGAGTTGAAACGATTACAAGAGAAGTTATCCGTTAATGAAATTGAACAAGAGATCGATCAAGAAGACTTCATAATTACCACATCGGATACAGATATGAGAATAACTTCATTCACGGATGATTATGGTAACAAGAACTACCAGGCGATCCAGTTGAAGGATAGACTCGAGATGCTAAGGCTTTTGAAATTACAACAATTGGTTTCAATCTTCAAAGAATCGTTGTTGTTTGATCAAAGCAATGGGTTCATTCACTTAGACCCAATCCAACATAATTCCAGCACTGATGAAAACATCTTGAAACAATTGCAATTCGAAATAATAAGTGAAAACCTAATAATGACTGCATTATCCTCAAATGAGACAAACCAATGGAATTCAATAAGCACCACATTGGGTCTATACGTACTGTTCATCAAGCTGATATCAGAAGTAATATACAATATTCCGTTACCAAACAAAATGTGCTATTTCGGAAGCACCAGTGTCATAAATCAAGAATTCCCATTATTTATAAATGACAGACCCACACCAAAGGAACTTTACTCTCTACAGATAGCAGTTGAACAATTCAATACAAACATTATTCAACTGAAATTTCATCTAAATCATAGAAACTCTACATAAGAAGGAAACACTTTGAAATCATAACACTTATCACTTTCTCTTTCATCTTTACCTTCATCTCCCCCCTCACAATATATAATATATAAACTTTACATAGGAAATCAAATACAATACCATTGAGTACCATATCAATACAACTCTAATACAACTCTAATCATCTGCAACATACATTCCAACTAATTATACCATCCTCTCTCTCTATTCAACATCTCTTGATAATGGTCAATTCTTAAATCATCACGGTTCTTTCCATTATTGGAAATTTGAACAATGCGATATTTAAAATAAGACGATATAATACATTATAATATAATACTACTACTACTAATACAATACAGTTAAAAGAGGATAACAGTCTTATTAGATTGGAACAGCCTTAAGGAGTTGGTCAACATTATTCAGGATTGGTAGTTTTAAGTATTTTTGGTCTGTATGGTGCGGTGGTCTTGTATCTAGTTAAGATGGATGCCAGTTTTATTGAAATTTTTTTAACAGAGTTAGGTTGTGAACAATACTTGGAAAGGTTTATTCAATATCAATTTATAAGTGCCGATGAGGTTAAATACTTGGATAAAGAGATCCTTATCGAGTTAGGTGTTGTTAAGATTGGTGATCGAATTCGTATTTTGCGCAAGGCTAGGTCAATAGACAAGCAGAAGGAGGCTAATTTAACTAGTCAGTTAAATGGTATTATTGATCGAATCAATTCACTTTCTGCAGGTGGTGGGGGTGGTGGAAGTAGTTCTTATATGAATGAGGAGCTGGTCACCGATAAACATTCAGTGATATTTATCTTGAATGATGGGTCCGCCAAAAAAGTTAATGTTAATGGTTGTTTTAATGCCGATTCGATTAAAAAACGTTTAATCAAGAGATTGCCTAATGAATTGTTAACTGTAAAACCATCAGGTGAAGGGACAAGAGCTATTGAAGATTATGACGTGTTTGTGGTGGATTATAATAAAAATGTTCTTCATTTATTATACGATGTTGAATTGGTCACGATTTGTCATTCTAGTGACCGTCTGGAAAAAAATAGGTTGATATTTATTTCGAAAGACCAGACTCCAAGTGACAAAGCTATATTAACTTCCAAAAAACTATACTTGAAGACCTTAAGTGTGTTGTATAGAGTTGGATCTACAGAAGAAGGAAATTCCAACTCAAATTCAAGTTCCAATTCCAATTCCAATTCCAACTCTAATTCCAACTCAAATTCTAATTCCAACTCAAATTCAAATGGTGCTTTAACTCCTTTACAAGTTGCCTCTCAACTAAATAGTCAAACTCATTTGAAGATCGAGAACCAGAAAAATGGCATGCGTAAGATATTTAACCAAAGACCTCCAAGTGAATACATTTCAACAAATTTAGCCGGCTATTTCCCTCAAACGGATATGAAGAAATTACAGAAAACTTTAAAGGAATCATTCAGACAATCTGCAAGGTTAACATCTTCCAGTGGGAAATTTTTGAACCCAGAATCGAATAAAATAGGCGACATTTTACTTAAACATTCAACTGCGGTCGATACTGCACTTTTAGAAAGTATTAAGCAAGCAGAGCCTACGCCAACTGAGAAAGTTACTGTTAAAAGAAATAGTGATCAACCAGATCAGAAGAAAAGAGAGTCTTCTAGTAACAATACATCTGGATACATCGATTTATTCAAAAGTTCAGATTTTGAAGATGATGCTACTGAAGATGAAGAAAATGGATTGGTTTCAATTCCAACTAAAGTTGCGACACCTAAGGCTTGGCTAAGAGGTGCATGCATTGGCTCTGGTAGTTTTGGGAGTGTCTATCTAGGAATGAATGCATTGACAGGTGAGTTAATGGCAGTTAAACAAGTTGAAATTCCTTCAGAATTGGTCGCAGGAAGTAAAGGAGACAAGAAGAAACTAACGGATTCAATGGAAAAGAATGACAAACAGAAAAATTCTTACCATATCCATAAAAAAATGGTAGATGCACTACAGCATGAAATGAACTTATTAAAGGAATTGCATCATGAAAATATTGTTACCTATTATGGTTCATCACAAGAAGGTAATAATTTCAATATTTTCTTGGAATACGTCCCAGGTGGTTCTGTTTCTTCAATGTTAAAAAGTTACGGTCCTTTTGAAGAATCTCTGATCACAAATTTCACCAGACAAATTTTAATAGGTGTCTCGTATTTGCATAAAAAGAACATCATCCATAGAGATATCAAAGGTGCCAATATCTTAATTGATATTAAAGGATGTGTTAAGATTACAGATTTTGGTATTTCCAAAAAACTATCACCACTAAATAAAAAACAAAAAAATGATAGAAGAGCTTCTTTCCAAGGTTCTGTTTATTGGATGGCTCCGGAAGTTGTCAAACAAACTGCCACTACAGAAAAAATAGATATTTGGTCAACTGGATGTGTGGTAATTGAAATGTTTACAGGTAAACATCCATTTCCAGATTTTTCTCAAATGCAAGCAATTTTTAAAGTTGGTACTGATACAACTCCAGAGACTCCATCTTGGGCATCTGAAGAAAGTACAGATTTCTTAAATAAAACATTTGAAATTGATTATAAAAAACGTCCAACGGCAATTGAACTTCTACAACATCCATGGTTAGACACCCGTGTACTATAAGAATCAACCATTAATTCTATATAGGAGCTGAAGAAAGATTCATCGATCATATTATACATAACTATTATGCTTTAACAGACAAATTGGTGTCATCTAAAAAGATAATATTCATATTGATAAATCCAATGATTTTTCAATCACCATTTTTGGTTTTGACACCTTATAGCCTAATTTAGAAGGACAATTATACATATATCTCATAATTTTTATATAAATATACCTTATACATACCATTATATTTATATTTAGCAAGAATATTCAATTTATCTTAAATATCGTTGATTGCAATTTCATCAAAATAAGCACTAATGAAAAACTCTAGGCGAACTGAATAAATGATACTTAAGAAGAAATAATACACTGATAAGTTTTGGATATTAGAGTTTTAAGTTAATTGAAGTGATAAAAAGTAGAGATAAAGGTAACAAATTAGCTTTGGAATTGTATTACAGTGTAATTTGATAGATTACTAGACTATGTTTCCTAAAAAACTACATTATGCTGCAGGCGATGACCTTCAGGTACGTAACATTTTTTTTTTTTAACTATGAGCTGTGATCTTTATCGATGTTACTTCTATAGGTTTCGATAATGATATTATATGTTCTAATTTATTGTTGATTTTGAGTTCACTTTACTAACTTATCTTATTTGTATTTATTAATAGTTATATGCTACACCAGAGGAAGCAATGAGAGAGGGAAGAAGAAGAGCAGAAGAAGAGAAGATGAGAAGACAGCAGAAATATGAATTGAGTTCTAAGACTGCAAAGGTAGACACCAGAGTTCACTCAGCTCCTACAGATATGGGAATGAATGGGAGATCGAATATGCCACAGTATCAACATGGAGGGGTGCCGACGAATACTGGTGCCCCTATTGATAGCAATAGAATGAATCAGGTACCATTGAAGAATGCAAGGATACCACCTCCACCTCCTAGGAATTCAAGTGGCAATAGAATAGTTAGCACACCTCCTAACTTTAGCCAACCTCAAATGGGGAACAACTCTAGGGTTAAACAAGGATCTCCTGTTAGTAATGGTGACGAACGAGATGTTCAAGTAGCTATGAGATTATTTCAAAACCATGATGTTAAAAATCGTGGCAGACTTACTGCTGAAGAATTACAAAATCTTTTACAGAATGATGATACCACCCACTTCTGTATATCATCTATCGATGCATTGATTAATATGTTTGGAGCTTCAAGATTTGGTACGGTGAATCAGAAAGAATTTGTATCTTTATACAAACGTGTTAAAATCTGGAGAAAAATTTATGTTGATAACGACATCAATGGATCATTTACATTGACTGTAACCGAATTTCATAATACGTTGCAAGAGTTGGGTTATTTAGTCCCCTTTGAAGTAAGTGAAAAGTTATTTGATCAATATGCAGAGTTTATCAATCAAAATCACAATGAAAAAGAATTGAAATTTGATAGATTTGTAGAATCGCTAGTATGGTTAATGAGGCTGACAAATATGTTTAGGAAATTTGACGGTAAACAAGAAGGCATAGCGACTATCCATTACAAAGATTTTATCGAAACTGTACTCTACCTGGGTCGATTCTTACCTCACTGATTTTATTTGAACGGAAAGTAATCGAAAAGTTAATTCAAAAATAATATAAAAGACCAAATATCCAACGAAATTAATCGACAAGTATTGAGATGATAGACAATATTATATGGTGTTCTTAATTAATCCTTCTCCCTCTCTCCCGACTCAACCCATAATATAATGTACGTGATGACACTTCAATTCTGTTGTTATAAAGAAAACTTCACAACTGTTCTAGAATGACTCTAACGATATTAAAAGTCAACAAATCACATATGCTTGATATATATAGATGTTTCTTTGACAGCCTTTTTGTAATAATTTACATTTGTTCCTGATTTGATATTTTTTGATTATACTGACACAGTGTCATTTTAAAGGTTTAGACACAAAATAAATATACAGACCAGAGTTATTTAACACATTACAAACTTTATAAAAGATTGAGATCCATACAAGGGACCTTTATTTGCCCATGGATGTACTCTAACAATCCATTTCTCTGTATGGAGTTTCAAATTTTGGTAACTTGTTCAATAATTTATCATAAGCGACACTAATAATAAGTGGTGATACAAGGATTGGATATCAAAATAATCGTTAGGATAAGCAAATATACAAACAAACAAGGCCAAAAGAAGGACAGGATACCGGATAGAGGTTGTTCTTTGAAGAAATAAAGGTATTACTTTTTAACTAGGTTAATAGATACAGTATGAAGTCTCCAGATTCTGGCAATAGGGATGATAGTCCAAATACAAAAGAGGAAGAAGCTGAACAAGACTGCAGTAGTCCAATGGTTGATTTGAAGGTTCAAATAAGTAAAGATGATGAGAGTGCACAGACTGAAGTCGAAAAGGGCACATTGATGAAGAAGTCAGCTGATAATGATTCTTCAGATATTATTGATGAGTACATGGATATATCATTATTTGATGTAAAATGTCGTAGAGTACCAACAATATCAAAAATGTTAAGGGATAGGACTATTATTACTGAAGGATATTCTATTGGAATAGATCAAATCCCATTACAAAGGGAGAGAATGACTGCTCATAAAGGTGTACATTTCACTTTAATGGTAGCTGGTCAAGCAGGTTTAGGTAAAACAACTTTTGTGAATACATTTTTTGGCTCTTCCATTTTACCAAGTGTTTGGAATAAGAAAGATCACAATTCAAGTCAAGAAAGAACAAAATCAATCACTTGTCACACTGCTCAAATTGAAGGGTATGGAACAAAATTGAACTTAACAATTATTGATACTCCAGGTTTTGGAAATAAATTAAACAATGCATTTTCATGGATTCCATTAACAAATTTTATTGATGATCAGATTAGATCATATATTTTCCAAGAGGAACAGCCAGATAGAATCAAACTAAGAGATAAACGAGTTCACTGTTGTTTGTATTTTATTGAACCAACAAACAAGGGACTTTCGACATTGGACGTTGTCACCATGAAAGAATTATCTAAAAGAGTTAATGTTATTCCAATTATCGCAAAGGCAGATTCCTTACCTAAATCCCATCTTACAAATTTCAATCGTGAAATTAGGCAAATAATTGATGTTCAAAATATTAAAATTTGCAATTTCTTAAATTCAAATGATCCATATTACGATGATATTTTCAGTAATATTCCATTCAATATAATCGCATCAGAGAACCATGTTATGAATAATCGTGGAGAATTGGTCTTAGGGAGAGAATATAAATGGGCAGTGATTGAAGTAGAGAATCCTAAACATTCTGATTTTAGTAAATTAAAAGATATTTTAATAAATAAATATATGGCCGATTTAGTTCAATCCACCGAAGAATATTATGAAAACTGTAGAGCATCACTATTAAAGACAAGGATATTAAAAGCAAGAGATATCTGTTTTTCTTCGAAACCACCACTAGTAGATATATCAGATGAATTAAAGGAATTTTTCAAAACATTAGATTATGAAAACTGTGATAATAATGGTATTAAAAATTATGCATGTTATCAACTGTTTAATAAGAAATATATCGACGAATTAGTTCTAGAATGGTGCCAAGAATATATCCACAGACAATGGGAAGCCAAACGAAGATTCAATGAAATCGTTAACGTTGAAGAAAATAAATTTCAAGATTGGAGGAAAGCTATCTTAAAAAGACAAGAGAAATTCAATAACGAAATAAATTCAATCCATAAACAAATTGAATCTCTACAAATAGAATGCCACGACTTGGAATCAAGAGCAATCTCTAGTCGCTCAGGAAATGAAAAATCTTTAGGAAATTTAAGTGCTATGGTAGGCAAAACCTAATCCCATTAAAAGCTCAATCTCTAATGTGTGTATATATCCATGTATATATACATTCTCTCAGCACAATCGATATATAAGTTTATTCTATTGCTAATAACTTAAACTTGATAAGTTACTTGTTAATTAATAGTTTAATGTCATGGAATTAGTGTCGCAACTACACTACCGTCAAAACCCTAAATACTTAAGACACTTACTTCTTCATTACCCGGACTCACTTTCGCTAAAAAACTTTTCGATCTAATTTCTGAATATCGAAAAGTATAAAAAGCCAGTAAGATTCAGAACTTATCGAAAACGTTTCCTCTCAATTTTTGTTTTCATATTGAATAGATATCTAGTAGAAGTAGTAGATGTTGAGTTCAGAATACCAGTAAACAGTGCACTCGAGAAAGGGATTGTGCTTACGTTTATTGCTGTGAATGAAATAGAAGCAAAAGTTTTTTGAAGTTTTCTGGATTTTGATAGAGATTAAAAGATTTTGGTCCTATTTAAACTATATTTCTTAGTACTTGTCTTTTCTATTTGCAGCTTCTGAACCCCATCATCTAGTTCTAATTATTTTTATTTTTTTTCAATTTAAATGATGAATACACATTATTACCTTTTTTTTTCTGGCATCTCTAATGTTAGGGTGAGGCGTTTCAGTACGATCCACTCGATGAATACAACCATTGACAATTTTCTGAATTATGAAAAAATGAAAACTATTAGACCAACAACTTGAGTAAGTAAAGAATAGCCTTAAAAACAACTTAATAATAGATTATTATTCTTACTATATATATATAAATTACTGAAATTCTAGCAATTCTATATACGTCTCGATATTCAGGTAGAAATTAGCTAGCCTCTCTCTTTGGTGTTGGAAACTTCAATAGCAGTTTTGTACCGATACGTGCTAGTCAAACACAATTGCATCGTTAGCGTTAAATTTCCTATTGTTCAGGTTTCAAAATAATTTTTTTATTGATCATTTAAACTCCTTGAAATAATGATATTCCTATCACAATTAATGGGGGAAAGTAAACTAACTATAACAATTTCAAAAAAAAACCAAAATTTGTGAATTTGACACCTTTCCAAAATAGGATTACCTCAATAGTATTTTGTGAATATACTTTAGATAGTTACTATGGTGCCCAGAGGACACCGTTGCCTCTTGAAGCATAAACCGTATTATCAAAGTTCGTCTTTACAATTTTTTTACCTTGTTTAGTTTCTTCAGCAACGCCATTTTTAATTATCTGTTTATTAAAATTTTCACTCATCTTGAATGACTTTTTATTCATGTCTCTAGCCAAAGCAGAATCTGCATCAACTATTGAAATGATAGGAATCTTGCAAATTCTAGCCAATTCTTTTACTTGATTATCTTCTGATATCAATATCCATTTGTAATCATCAGACACATGCAAATGACACAAATGAACACAACTTTTTAACAAATTTTTCAATCTGCGTGGTAATTTGTTCAATTTCTCCTCATGTTCTTCACCAGCTATCTCTAAAACTTCACGCCATAGTACTAAATCCAAAAAATCTGGCAATTCAATAATAATTTCTAATGAATCTGAATGGTATTTAGGAGATGAATTTCTATCCTCAATATATTCAATAAACTTCAACGATTCCCTAGCCATAAAACTTTTAAATTTATATCTTTGGAAATCCAATTCCCTCAATGTATATGTTGGAATATATATTCTTAATTTAACATTATCTGATTTATTCTCACACCATCTTTTAATGTTTCCTAATCCTTTTTCAAAAGATGATGCCTCTAATATAAAATTATACACATTCATCAACTGAATAAATGATATGATCGAATCCCCCGTTGTCCAGCTTGATCCGCAGCTTTTAAATTAAAGTTATAATCTAATTTTAACTCATCCTTTGTCTTAATTGATCAATCATCTTTTAAGTCCTTTCAAGTTTGTTTAATCTCAAATTGCGTATAATATGTTATACATCTACGTATAGTATGACCTATTGTTTGTCACGTGATCTGGCACTACAAGAAGACGATAAAAGTAAGTTTGATGGCAGGGTAACTACACTGCCTAATGATGAGTTTGGTGAGGTAACAGTGCCAGTAAATGTGGAAGTATCAGTTAAAAGACATTCATCGTATCATACTGGACCTATATCATAGCTATAGATAGATACTTAAATTAAGTTCACAAAAGCCTTGGAAATTCATTTTTACTAAAATTCTGCCGCAATTACGTGTTGCAGTCTGCTATCACCACTTCTATAACTAAATCGAAATTCGATTAACATGTTGAAATATAACTCTCATTACACTGTTTTTACTATACTTAATAGCTTATATTATATCTGTTGATAGATATAAATACATACATATATATATATATATATAGTTCCTGTAAAATACTTCAACATGGCATACATAGTAAAGTTCGATATGATAATGATAACGGTAATGATGATGATAATGACAATGCAATGGTTATCAATACCTCCAGGCCTAAGAAGCACATATTTATTAATAAAATTAATAATGAGAACAAAAGAGAAATAGAGAGACATACAGATACCAACAACGGTTCAAAAATTAAAATAGTAAATTATTGAAAAAAAAAAAATTGGATAGCCTCAATTAATCGAACATAGTGGTTATTATGTTTTGACTCAAATGATATTCATAAAAGTAAAGTTTCAGAGTTAAATACCCATAATTAAATTACCTTTATTCCGAATATTCATTCAACCAACCTACCAAATCATCAAAAACATTACTATATATTTCATCAGTTTCCAAAGATAGAATGGAATGTCTAGCTTTATTATAGAATTCAATCTTCTTTTCTGGAGCAGCAGAGAGATCATATACTTTTTGAGAACCCTTAGGATCATTGATTGTATCGTCTTTTCCATGTTGAATAAACAAAGGTTTATCCATTTTTTGTAAACGATTATTTTCATTCTTGTATAGTTTTTTACCACGTACTAAGAAATCTTGAATTTGTCTAAAACTACCATACAATGGAATACTCATAGGATCATTAGCTAAGAATTCTCTATAGGTAGGATCAGAAGTAATACCATCTAAATCTAATCCTGTGTCAATTCTCATATTTGGCAAAAATTTAGCTAATAGTGGAGCAGCAAATTGAGTCAAAATATTTGGTTGAGAATGAGGATGTAAAACTACTAAAGGTCCAGATGCAATAAAAGTAGCAACATCATTTTTATGTTTACCATCACAAGCATAGTTTAATATAATACCACCACCCATAGAATGGCCCCACAAATGAATAGGGATACCCTTTTCTTTACATTCATCAATATTCTTCCTTAAGAAATAGTCCAAATCATTAAATGTATGGTATTCATTGGTAATACCTTTTAGCTTACCAGGAGAAGTTTCACCAGAACCTCTTTGATCAAACATAAAGGTTTCAAAACCATTAAGAGCTAATTGATCCATCATTCTATAGTAAATTTGAGAATATTCACCAAAACCATGGACAATAACAATTCTACCCTTTGGTAACTTTGATTCCTGATCTTCTAAACCAATATTAACTGCTGGCCATAGCATATAAGCAAAATTAGCACCATTAAATGCTTCAAACTGAATCTTTGGAATTTCAGTCTTTGTTTCGTAAGGGTATTCGCTCATCTCAAACTTTTGATATCACACACACACAGATATCTATACAACACTCGTCAGACTAACAAAACGATATAACAATAATCCAACAGATACCTCAACCTGTTGTCCCAATCTTGATCAAGATACTTGCTTGTTTAAATAGTTCTATTTTGTTATGCAACATAACACCAAATAAATCACATTAAAATTTTATTACTGGAACGCGTTAACAGACCTTTAAAGGATAACTGATGAGAAATGTGAATATTTTAGATAATCAACTCTAAAGGTTTGGAGTTACAGTAATAACTACAACAACAACAACAACAATAACAACACGATGATCATGATGATCTTGATGACTATATTTCTACTTCTTTCTCACTGACACCCCTAGTGGATTTTGTTTCTTTCTTTTTAGTTTCTTCTTAATTGGGATGGATTTGTTAGTTATCAATTGATTTAAAATTGATGATGTTGAATTTTGTTGATGTTCTTTGAAAGCAGATTCTACTTGTGAATTCAACTCCATGTCATCATCTTCAATGCCGTTATTTGCTCCTTTTGTTCCTTTATTTAGATCTAATTTCTGATTAAGCTCTTCTGCTTTTTTTAACGATGCATATTTAAGTTTTTTCAAATTCTCCAATGATTCATCATCTTGCTGTTGTTGTTGTAATGTCGCTAGTTTCTCTTCTAATAATTCCATTTTATCTGCAGTTGGATCAAGTTTTCCTTCTAATTCTGATTTTTCTCTTTCTTGTTCCTTTGTCAATCTTTCCAAGGCTTCATCAACACTCTCTAATTGTGCACTATCATAATCTTTCCTAATATAGCTTCTTTCACCACCAACCTCCATAACATAATCTGCCTTCTTAGGATCAGTCCTGAAACTGATAAGATTATTGCATCTTGGGCATTTGATACTTAATCGATAAATCTTTATAGAATCCAGATATTTTTCAGGTAATAATTGTTTCTTCCCATTAAACTTCCTACTCTTAGAGATATACTCATCACATTTTAAACACCTCATACCAAATGGTGTCATCAATCTAATAGTGACCACATCTTTATTGGTTGTCTTTAGTCTCTTGGATAATTTTTTAGCTGCTTTCTCTGCTTCTAATGGGTTATAATCCGGTGGATAGTACTTATTTATAGCCTTTCTTTCAGACATAATGTGAATGTTTCTGATATACAAACCTCTTTGACTCTAACCTGTAACTTACTATTAGATATGCCAAATTTGATTGACAATATATTTATGGAGATGTAACTGATTTGCTACCATTGCCACTTCTTTATCATTATAACTCATCAAGTTGAATATATATCGATTTAAAGCTCATCGCTTAGAAAGTTTCAATATTTCTATAGTGAAAACTAGCTATAATGAATAAATTACAGGTAAAGACAAGGAAGTGCGAGTATTAGAACTGCAAGTCAATATATAACATTATTATGTCTATTTTAATATCGAATAATATCAATTTTTAGATATACGAAGTTTATCAAACGAGAGTTTTTATCTATCCATATATAAATTATAGACATATACATATTAAATTTTAAGCTCTCACTTTATATTTTATAAGCAATTAAATATGAATGTAATTAATAAAAAAGTAACTGATAATGATGTTAAAGGGAGTTAACTTTAATAGTTATTAATAATATTAAGATGATTGGAGTTATATTATTTTTGATAAATTGAAAAAATACAATTAATGAATATTAAATAAAAAGAGGGAAAGGTAAAAAAATAACGATAAAGATATTTACTTTTGGATTTATTTCAAAAACAAACAAACCACAATGTAAATAATACCTAATACTATTGATATATTCTTTCATCTCTATTAATAATTTTCATTAGTTTTGTTATTCTTTTTTGGATTTTAATTTAAAACTTTTAAGTTAAACTTCCTTAATTCATTAAAAATTCTTAGAAGAATGCTAACATGGCAATGGCTGCAGCTGCAATACTTACACCAAATACACTACCCTTTTGTATAATAGCTGCTGAGTTTTCTTCTTCTTTTGATTTATCATCATCTTCATAATCACAACCTTCTTCACCTTCGCCTTCACCTTCACCTTCACCTTCTTCTTCACCTTCAGGCTCAGTATAATTACCAGAAATGGTAGAGTTACAACTTGGTGGATTTGGGAATTCATGACCAGATGCACATGATGAACAATCAGATGAACCAGCAAAATCTGGTACTTTGGAACCGGTTGTGTCAGCGGTTCTCAAAACAATTCCGATAGCAGTTGAATTACTTGGAACTTCACCAACTGATAAAACGTATTTACCACCTTCTGGAACAACATAAAAGTTTTCTTCACACTCATAAGCTAAATGGCCATCAATGATTGAAAAACCTTTGTCAGCTGATTTTTTCTTATCAGTATCTCTCAATACATTGTCTTCATCGACATATACATAACTTCCATCTTCTAATTGTAATCTACCTTTATCGGTGATTACAGCTTCAACTAAAGATTCAGATTCAGTAGTATTAGAAGAAGCTGAAACATAGAATTTGCCATCATCTGAATCAAAGTAGACAAATGAGTATTGTAAAGCAGAACCAGATCTAATAGAAATCAAACCAAATTGCTCCGAATCACCTTTAACTAATTGTGATAATGCTAGTAAGAAAGCAGAAAATGTAATTGACAATCTCATTATTGATGTATTATATGTGTCTTTTGATTAAAGTAAAACCTATCAGAAAATGTATTTTTGGAAAGTTAAGTATATATAGGCAATTGACCACTTGTTACAGAAACTTTAGCTCTATCCCTTTTCAATATAGCAGAAGAAGATAATTTCTAATGAAAAATCCAAAAACTTAAAAATAAACTAACAAAGGTATTCCATCTGAAAGTGGTATTAAATTCTAACTTTAGATATTAAAACTGATCGAAAATTACTACCCTTTTTATATCCCATTAATCACAACTTCAACTCATTTCTTGAATTGCTGACACATAAAATAATCATACAACACAAAATTTAGACCATCATTCTATTAACACCTCAAATAGCAACTTCTGATTGATATCGACCAAATATATCAAAGACACAAAATAATATCACCTTGTGGTTTCCATTACTCTTATTACCTTTAACCATCAATAACATCAATAAGAACATCAATAACCTCAATATTTAATTCAAAGCATGTCACAGAAAGTTCCCACCGTGACTTCAATATCGGTTACAAACTAACGAATATCAAACTCGTATTGTAGTTAATACATCAAGACTAGACCTGTCTCTATTGTCAAATTTAATGTCATTCCTTACACTTCATAATTCTAGTTGATTCAATTTTTTAATATCCTTTATGTATAATGTCAGTTAAGTTGCTAGTTTTCATATTTAAAAGGTACTATAATGGAATGATCTTATTAATAGGATGCAATCGACATTTTTCAATTACTCCTGTAATTAATCAGAGAATACAACTCATGTGTATTAGAGTATGTATACTCTTTCAAAGGAATTTACGTTATTCAAAGGGGATGAGATATCTTGTTTTGTAGGGATTTCGGGATAAATCAAATAATTAGATGATGGAGGGTACTTGTTTGAAATGTATCCTATATTGCTGGAATTATCTTGGTTAATACATCTTTAACTACCAATGACTCTATAAACAATGGATTCTGAGATCTTGCTAAAAACTTGACTTTGTTTAATTTCTCCAAGAATTCATCAACAAGATGAGATTTACTACCATATGCGACGCTGACGTCCATCGAAGAATCAGAAACAATTCGTAAATGTGATGGGAAATAGAACATGGAGGCTATCTTGATATAATCTGGTGTGACAAACCATAATTGTTTATTATATTTAGAACTCATAATACTAATCAATTGTGATAACGCAACTATGTCATGCAATGCGTCCGGTTGGATTCCTCCACCTTTAGGTTTATAAGTAATATTGTGCATTCTTAAATGTACTATTATATCTTCAATATATCTTTTAATTACTGGCTTGATAACGACGGTGTCGTATTTTTCAAGATCCTTCATAGAATAAATTATGCTTTCAACTATTTCTATGGATTCGTCAACTGGAGCCATGCAGCCTAGCCAAAACTTATTTCTTAACCAATCATTTATGGTAAGTACATTTGATTTTTTATCCAAACGTTCCTCTTCATCTTCATTTTCATCTTCATTTTTATTTTCATACAATACAATCCCTATAACTATATACTTTGTATTATTTTTTTCAGTTTTATCATTAGTTAAATCAGTGGTCTGAAACTTAGGATTTCTTTTAACTCTTGGTCCTTGGATATCATTTGAATTATCCCTAAGATACTTACTTAGAACATTCTGTTTTTCAGCTGTCAAATTGTTCAAGTTTGGTACAATTGTTATTTTTATCTTACAATCTTCAGATTTTGTCTTGTTATTACATTTAGTATCAAGAAAAGAATCCAATACTTCAATCTCCAAACCATCCAAATCAGAAAGAATTCTTTCAACAGCTTGTTTCACAACAACCTGAGGTGTCACCTCGATCTCTTTATTCACAAAGCATATAAAACTTTTATTCGTTACTACACTAAATCGAAGTGCCATTTCGAAATCCATAAGTTCTTCATTATATTTCATTATTGCTCGACTTTTAAACTGAAATTAGCAACCCCACAAACACACACACTTATACACAGATAGACAAACTCAAATAGAGAATATATCTAACCCTAATGGAATGATCCTTTACCAAATAATCGCCAATTCCTATTGACCTCATCTCTCATCTTGCATTTTATAGCTATCGACATCCTTTTAATATTGATGGAGTTTGAAATATTCGCCTTTATTCCTCCTAACTGAGCTGAAATAAAAAATATCTTAACTTCAAATACGTCTGAACTATAGAACTTGAACAGTTGTTTAATCATTGGTAGAGCTAAGATCCGTTATACTCAGGTATCATATTAGTAGTTTCGAGTGTTGGATATAGTGGGTATTTTTCTTTTTTCCTGAAGTTGTTCAACTGTTCAAATTGGAGAATATGACAAGCTCTATTCAATCTGCAGCAGATTCAATAACTGAATATATTAATAAGCTATTCCCAATTAGTGTAAAAAGTTTGCCCAAGACCAATAGCACTGAATTAAAAAATGTTTTTGATAAGATTAATACTGTGATTTCAGGTAATAATTCTAAGAACTTTATCTATTTTGGATAATTTCACTACCGTTTTGGGATATTATTGACTGAAGTTTTTAAAAGCATTCGATGTTATTTTATTATGGTATATTAACCAGCATTGCGATGACATTAGTTATAATTGGTTCATTTGCATCAATTTCATCTATTCCATATACTGCTTTACCTCCAACAAAGATTCACCCTTTATTTGATCCAACTGATTTTGATTTAGAACTCGATTGTCATATTGTCTATAAAGATGATCCTGAAAAGAATAAGAAAGCTGGTATCATGGATGAAAAACATGCAATCTTGTTACCTTTGAGCAGTGGTCTCATGTTGACCGCTTTGTATTTTATTATCACAAAATTAAAGATTCATTGGATTAATTTTGTAATGAAGCTATTAATTTGGAATATTAAGACAATGAGTATTGTTGCCGGTACTTTTGTTACTTCATATGTTTTACATTCGATTGTTCGTAATTTCTTACATTTTCAGAAGTGGGATCCATTAGAAATATTCCCAAGATATCGTTTGACAGTTTCTGATGATAACGAAGAAATTAACAGATCTAGCGGTGTAGTTACTAATTTCAATTACCAAGATGTATTGACAGATAAAATATATTATCAAGATATGATTGACATGATTAATAAAAATCCTATTGAAAAACAATATTATAAAAGAGAATTTCGTAAACCTACAAATATTGATTCCAAGAGGCAAATTATTAATATTTATTATGATAACATCACAACTATTTCCTTGATTTGTTCTGCTATATTAACCGTCACATTTCATTATTTACCCAAGAATTGGTTAGTTGGCAATCTAGTAAGTGTTAATTTTGCAATTTGGTCAATTTCTCACTTAAACCTGAAGAATTTAAAATCTGGTACATTAATATTGATGGCATTATTTTTGTATGACATTTATTTTGTATTTGGTACTGAAATTATGGTGACAGTAGCAACCAAGGTTGATTTACCAATTAAATTATCGATACCAACTAAATACAACGGTCAGATTGGTAAATTTGAATTTGCAATGTTAGGATTAGGAGATATTGCATTGCCTGGGATGTTTATTTCTACATGTTACAAATTTGACATTTGGAAATACCATTTAGATAATAATGATGTTGAATTTCATTTGTTGAATTGGTCATATATTGGTAGATATTTCATTACCGCGTGTATTAGTTATGGATTATCGATAATTGCATGTATGGTAGCATTGAGTAAATTTAAGACAGCACAACCTGCATTATTATATATTGTGCCTGGGTTGTTAATTTCTACTTTGAGTTTAGCATGGATAAGTGGAGATTTCAAGCAATTCTGGTGTTTCCAATACGATACGATTGAATTGTCGAAGAATATATTGAGAGAAGAGGATGGAGATGCGACCACGACGTACACTGCTTTCATTGAAGCTACTGATATCGATGATGACGAGGAGGATTATACAGAGGAAGACGCTGCACTAGATTATGATGAAGATGATTTCATATCTAGTGACGAGGAAGAGAATTATCGGTCA